TAACACCTTGTTCCTTCTCTGTCCAAGTAAAACACCAACTGCAAAATCACTAGCATCACACATTAGTTCAAAAGGTTATGACCAATCAGGTGTGATGATCACAGGTGCAGTGATGAGTTTCTTTTTCAGTTCAGTAAATGCATTTAAACAGGATTCATAAAACATAAAAGCAGTATCTTTTTCAAGCAAGTTACACAAGGGTTTAGAAATTTTTGAAAAATCCTTAATGAACCTCCTGTAAAAAACGGCATGGCCTAAGAAACTCCTTACTCCCCTGACTATGGTTGGTGGGCTGAGCCTCTCTATGACTTCAATCTTTGCTTTATCCACTTCAATTCCTTCCTCTGAGATCTTATGCCCCCAGACAATTCCCTCAGTTACCATAAAATGGCATTTCTCCCAGTTGAGGACTAGGTTTGCTTCTATGCATTTCTTCAGTATCAGTCCAAGGTTGTCCACGCATGCATCAAATGACTTACCAAAAACCGAGAAGTCGTCCATAAAGATCTTAATTATGTCTTCCACCATATCAGAGAAAATGGCCATCATACATCTTTGAAATGTTTCCGGTGCATTGCACAGTCCAAATGGCATTCTCTTGAAGGCAAATGTGCCATAAGGGTGGGTGAAAGTCGTCTTTTCTTGATCATCAGGATCTATGGCAATCTGGTTGTAACCTGAGAAGCCATCAAGGAAAAAATAATACATGAATCCAGCCAATCTATCTAACATTTGATCAATAAAGGGAAGGGGAAAGTGGTCCTTTCTGGTAGCTTTATTAAGCTTCCTGTAATCCATGCACACTCTCCATGAATTGTTCAGCCTTGTAGGGATCAGCTCCTGGAGGTCATTTTTTATCACTGTGATTCCTCCCTTCTTGGCCACGCATTGCACTGGACTCAACCACTTGCTGTCAGATATTGGGAAGATGATTCCAGCGTCCAGCAGCTTGATAATCTCCTTTTTCACCACTTCCTTCATGACTGGGTTGAGCTTTCTTTGTCCTTTAATGGTTGGGTTGGCATCGTCTTCAAGTAGGATCTTGTGCATACATATGGAAGGACCGATGCCCTTAATGTCTGCAATTGACCATTGGTTGGGTGGTCCAATGAAGTTAATTTGGTAATCGACGGTGGGTCGAGTACTAATTGTATAAGTGAGGAATTTTGCATAGCAAACGGAATCAAGATGGATCCGCATGCTAGACCATACAAGCTTCAATGGTTGAGTGAAGAGATGGTTGTGGATGTCACTAAGAAGGCCATGGTATCTTTTCAAGTTGGTGAGTATAGGGATGAAATTTACTTTGATGTAATTCCTATGTCTCTTTGTGATATTTTGCTAGGTAGGCCTTGGCAATCAGATGTAGATGTTGTGCACCATTACTCGAAGAATATCTTTGTCTTTACTAAAGAGGACAGGAAGTATATTCTTAAGCCTTTGGCTTATGAAGAAGCTGAATCTGTGCGAGAGAAAAGACGTAAGATAACCTATACACAAGGGAGAGAAAAAGTCGAGAGAGTGACGCAAGAAAGTAAAAAAGGTCACACTGAGGTAAGACTTGAGGCGAGAGAAAACCATGAAAATAGTGTGGAAACAGAAAAAAATGCGCGCAATGAGAGAAAATTAGAGTGTGGTGAGGGTGAGGATTTTACTAACCCTTATGTCTCGTTTGTTCCTTGTGCAGGTTTAGAGGTTGATGATTCAAGGACGAATCCTCTTAAAGAAGGAGGGGATGATGAGAATCATGTAGCCTTACATGGTGATTCTCCTAGTGAGGGGAATGAACTAGTCCTTCATTCTAGTTTTGGAATGCCAAGTTTACTTTGCAGGCCAATCAAAGAAGAAAGGATGGATCTTGACTACCTATGTGATAGGGAGTTGCTTCAAGAGAGCTATGATCAAGATAATTAGAATGTCATTCACTTTGGGGTTCAAACCAAAGGAGATAATGAACTCATGGAAATAAGTGCTCAAGAGTATCAAGGGAGTTTGACTTTAGGTGCTCCATGAAGATCATTGATCAAGCTAGTGAGAAGAGTCATTTAGATTCTTGAATGGACGGCCTATTTGATCAAAGTGTTCAAGATTGAGTACATTGCTACACAATTGGATAGGTTGCAAACCCTCTCAATTGTTTCAAGTGTTTTTCCAATCTTTTGGAGTCAATAAAGAGAATTCTACAAGTTTTGGAAAAAATTGGAGTTTTCTACAACTTCAGGGGTGCAAGACCAATATTCTACTTTTGGAAGGGCGTTTAAGATATTTTACTTCAATAATTTGGAGCTGATTTTCGAGAATTAGAGTTTGTCTACGTCTAGGAGTTATTTTCGAATTTTTATCTAGTTAAATAAGTCATGTGGACTGAATAAACTAGAGTGTTTTGATTGGGAGTCTTAGATTCCTTCTAAGTATTATCCTATTTGAAGATAAGTCATTTAGATAAGGTTTTCTAGATTTTAGATAGAGTCAAAGAGATCAAATACTCTTCTAACTCTACTCCTGCGTGAGATAAGATCAGAGAGTCCCAGTTGGTCTTCTTTTTTGGTGCTGGCCGAGATTCTTAGCCTATAAATAGGGGGCATGGCCGAAACTCAAAAGCATCCTTGAGTGGTCATTTTTGTTGTCTCTTTTGAGAGTTTTTCCTGTGAGGAATTTTTGTTAAATGGAGTGTCCATTTTTCGTATCAAGTATGATTTAACCAAGAGGTTTTTCATCTTGTCTTGGATCTTTTTGATCTTGCAAAAACCATTCTTTTTCAAGTATGCTTCTTGATAGAATTGTTTTAAAACTTAATATCTTATTTTCATACTACTTCTAGTAGTTCGATTGATGAGCCTTTCTTTTGGCTTGGTTTTCGAATTCATGATGTGTGTGTTCATGAGTTCCATTGTGGGGTTTGTCCTACTTTTGTTGGATGAGTTGTGCTTTGGCATAAGCATTTTGAGATAGCATATGTGTTGCATATGTTTGTTGGTTATGGAGATTACTAATCAATAGTATTCCTTCATAGTTGAGCATTGTTTGCTCCTACCTTTCTTGAGTCTCTTGAATGATGACTGATCGAGTATATTGAATGGTGTCCTTACTATTCTTAGTGTGGGTTGTTGTTTAATTTGAATCTTTCATGGATAATGTGTTCTTTGATTGGTTTGAGTTAAGAGATAGAAATCCTTAGATAAATTATCGTCTTACTCAGAATTTTCCGCACTCTTTTGAGTTTCACGGGATAGACAACTTATCTTCGTACTTTCTTGTTTGATGGTTGCATTAACGAAATTTGCTTCATCTACAAGATTGCTATCAACACGCATGCTTTTTTTAAAGAAGTTATACATTGTACAAAAAGAAAAGGAATCACAACACACCAGCATCTGTCAACATTGACTAGTAAATAATGTACAATCACAAAAAAGGTAAAAATAATGTGATTTAAGTTCTGGAGCAACACCGCTCCATAGAAATCTATGCTCTTCATAAGGATTCATACACGTTTTGAACTCTAAAAAATCGATGCATCAAAAAAGGAAAAAAATGAGGGGAAAAAAAACACACACATAATCCAATGTCGTATATTGAAAAAAAAAACACACGTAATCCAATGTCGTCTATTGTAAAAACAACCTATTTAAAAGTAATCAGGACAACAACAACGATACTACTTGAAAAGCTATTGATGGTACACAATAGAGGGGTCGTTTTGAAAATCATGTGCCATGTTTTGGGGCAACAACCTTTCATAGAATCCATCCTCTTTAGCGATTTGTTTCTTTAGATAAAACCTTTTTAGGGAGTGCTACACATTTTAGACACAAGAATTAATTTAAAACTGACTCTATAAGAAAAACTTCAAATATTTGTAAACAGTGTCTTTGATGCATCAGTATGAATGTGTTTATGAATTCAAAAAGACAAGAAGAACATATTCAAACTGAAAAAATAGTGGCCCAGTTGTTCACATTCCCTGTTAAGGTGAATTGACTATAATCATATTCATATCTTTTTATGAAGAAGAAGATGTTCACAAGCCATAACCCTCCCAATTCTAATGATCATAATAAATAGTAAAATCAAAATAACAAAATGATATGAAAATCAGAAGGCAAACTTTTTAGAAGAATTCGGATTTCTTGTTCTTCTTGTTGTTCAAATTTTCCTCTCCCAAAAGAGGATATTCGTAACCAAGCTAACGGGTCATTGTTCCGAAAATACCCTTGTTCTCTCTAGGCAACCCTACTCTTCACGGCTATCCATTTCGGCCAATATGGCGGGCACCCAGCCGCCGGTGTCTCTTCCACCGCCGCGGACTTTTGCAAGGTTTTTACAGAAGCCCCTCGATATTGAGATGAATAAAGATTCACTTAGCAAACAAGTAAAGTTTGTGAATGGTACTCCTACTCTAGAGTATGAGGATAATGAATTTGAGAAGTTGGTTTGCTTCGCATAGATTATGCTTGGTCGGAAATTCTCTTATGGACAGCCTAAAATGGAGGAGGTCCATCAAGAATATAAGAAAATCGGGTTTAATGGGGGATACACTTTGGGTCTCATGAACCCTAGGCATGTTTTGATTCGGTTTGATCAAGAGAAAGATTACCAGAGATGTTGGATATGAACATTCTAGAACATTGGAGGTTTCTCCATGGGAATTTTGAAATGGAAACCCGGATTTTGATTTGAGGAAGACCCACCGGTGGTGCCAATATGGGTCTTTCTTTTCAATTTGCCCATTGAATATATCCATCCGGAGGTAATCTATTCAATGGCAACGGCTCTAGGCAAACCTTTGAAGGTGAATACACCTACTTTGAACATGACAAGGCCCTCGGTTGCAAGATTTTGTGTGGAGATTGATCTCACCAAAGAGCTCCCAAAGTCAGTGAAGAATGGGAGAAAAGGCCGAAAGCATGAGCAAATCTTCACCTTTGAGCATTCCATCCTATTGCTTAAAATGCTGCAAGATCGATCATAAGGAGGAAGATTACAAGAAAGGAAAATTTATGCCACTGAAAAAAGATGAGAGGAAGCAACTCGTTGATCGAGTTGCAAAGAAAAAAGGGCTCAAAATTACAAACCCTAAGCCTAAATGGTCTTTCAAAAGTGGCGAGAAGAAGTCCGTAGCCCCAAAGTTGAATGTGCAAATCTTGAGTGAGAACCCCTTGATCGTCAAAGCTACTGAAGACACTCTAGTCGACTTGACGAGCCCGGGGAAGCAAACCCTAGCAGAGCGCCCCTTTGAGTCGCACCCCCCTGCAGAAGAAACCCTAGCAGTGCGCGGGCAAGAACTGCAACCTTTTGCGACGGGTACTTTAGTAACGCAATTGGTGGGATCAATGTCTGGTTTGACCACTAAGCAGAAGGAGGCAATACTGGTGGATATTCTAGATGTACCAGAGACGCAAGTTGAGCTGGAAGGGATCGATCAAGTAGAACTTGCGCAGCAGGAAAATGTTCATGTTAAACCTAATTCCTCTAATCGCTTTGCTGCTTTGCAGGATATTAAGGGATGAGATTTCGACACAATCGATGATTCTGAGAATGAGGAGAATATGTATACAGAAAGGGTTGTGGATGAGCAGGTGATACAAGCTAATGGTTCAATAGAGGCAGAATAACGACACATCGAACTTGAGCCAAAACGTGGTTTGGGGAAGTCTTCTGATGATTTTTATGATGCAAACACCCAGGAGGATGATGTTGAGGGATCTTCTGAGGATTTTTGTTAATTAGAAGGGGAAAAAGACAGCCCTCATGTACATGTTGAGCGCTTGGAAGGTGGTATTACAGTGAAAAGAAAAAGGGGGAGGAAATCAAAGGAGGATTGGGCCAGATTGAATGCACGGGTGGAGCCTCGTCGCTCTGCCCGATTGCAATAGTTTCTCGGTTTTTACCAACTTAATAAATTTCATAATGATTAGAAATATCATATGGAATATAAGAGGAGCAAAAAATCAAGCGTCTATACGGCGGTTGAAGTCATTAATAAAATTGCACAAAGTATCATTTGTGATCCTTTTGGAGCCTATGTTGCCAAGTAATAAAGTGGGAGAAGTCAAGTATTTTTTGAATTTTGATGAAGTGTTCTCTTCATCCATGAGCAAAATCTGAGTTTTGAGAAAGAATGGTGTTAGGGTTACGTTGATTGGTGAAGTTTTGCATTTAGAGGTTGAGTATCTTTCGGTTGGTTCAAAGGTTTGCATTTCAGCGCTTTATGCCAAATCAACTAGAGTTGCTCGACAAAACTTATGGAATGAAATGCTAGGGTTTCGGCAACAACATTCTAATGTTCCATGGATGGTAGGTGGGGATTTTAATGTTATAAGATCTCTTGATGAATATTCCGATATTTCGGTTCAAGATCAAGCTTCAATGTCTGATTTCAATAGTTTCATTGAGGGAGCTTCCTTGACGGAGTTGCTTACCATAGGGAATGAGTTCACTTGGGGAGGCACAAGAACCACTGGATGGGTAAAAAATTGGATCGCATCCTTTTTTCAGAGGAATGGCTTGATAAGTTTCCTAAAGCCTCGGTGGAGAACATTAATCGTACTATATCCGATCATTGTCCTATGTTGCACCAATTTGATACTACTTTAGAAATCCAGCCCCGAAGCTTTTGGTTTCAGAATATGTGCTTAAGAAGGGAGGATTTCATGCCTTTGGGAGGAACCTATTGATGGCTTTGGGATGTTAAGTTTCTCTTTGAAACTCAGGCGATTGAAGGTGAAGCTTAAGGAGCGGAATAAGTCAGTTTTTGGGAATGTTTTTGACAAATTAAAAGCTGCGGAGGAGAAAGTCAGAGAGCTCAAAATAAAATATGATGCTACTGCCTTGGAAGAGGATAGAATTCAGCTAAGTCTTGCACGCGCACATTTGCTTTCAAAGCTTAAAGAAAATGAAGACTTTTGGAAACAAAAGATGATAGCAATCTCGTAGATGAAGCAAATTTCGTTAATGCAACCATCAAACAAGAAAGTACGAAGATAATTTGTCTATCCCATGAAACTCAAAAGAGTGCAGAAAATTCACAGTAAGACGATCATTTATCTAAGGAATTCTATCTCTTAACTCAAACCAAGCAAAGAACACATTATACATGAAAGATTCGAATTAAACAACAACCCACACTAAGAATAGTAAGGACACCATTCAATATATTCGATCAGTCATCATTCAAGAGACTCAAGAAAGGTAGGAGCAAACAATGCTCAACTATGAAGGAATACTATTGATTAGTAATCTCCATAACCAACAAAGATATGCAACACATACACTATCTCAAAATGCTTATGCCAAAGCACAACTCATCCAACAAAAAGTAGGACAAACCCCACAATGAAACTCATGAACACACACATCATGAATTCGAAAACCAAGCCAAAAGAAAGGCTCATCAATCGAACTACTAGAAGTAGTATGAAAATAAGAAGTTTAGTTTTAAAACAATTCTATCAAGAAGCATACTTGAAAAAGAACGGTTTCTGCAAGATCAAAAGATCCAATACAAGATGAAAACCCTCTTGGTTAAATCATACTTGACAAATGAAAAATGGACACACCATTTAACAAAAATTCCTCACAGGAAAAACTCTCATTAGAGAAGACTCAAAATGACCACACACGGGTGCTTTAATTTTCGGCCATCCCCCCCTATTTATAGGCTAGAAATTTCGGCCAGAGTACCAAAAAGAAGACAAACTAGGACTCTCTAATCTTATCTCACACATGAGTAGAGTTAGAAGAGTATTTCATCTCTTTGACTCTATCTAAAATCTAGGAAACCTTATGTAAATGACTTATCCTCAAATAGGATAATACTTAGAAGTAATCTGACACTCCCAATCAAGACACTCTAGTGTAATTCAGTCCACATGACTTATTTAACTAGATAAAATTTGAAAATAACTCCTAGACTACATAATACTCTACTTCTCGAAAATCAGCTCCAAATATTAAAGTAAAATGTCTTGAACGCCCTTCTAAAAGTGGAATATTGGTCTTGCGCCCCTCAAGTTGTAGATAACTCCAATTTACTCCTAAACTTGTAAAATTCTCTTTATTGACTCCAAAAGAATGGAAAAACACTTGAAACAATTGAGATGGTTTGCAACCTGTCCAATTATGTAGCAATGGACTCAATCTTGAACACTTTGATCAAATAGGCCGTCCATTCAAGAACCTAAATGACTCTTCTCTCTAGCTTGATCAATGATCTTCATGGAGCATCTAGAGTCAAACTCTCATGATACTCTTGAACACTTATTTCCATGAGTGATCATCTCCTTTGGTTTGAACCCCAAAGTTAATGACATTCTCATCATCTTGATCAATGCTCTCTTGAACCAACTCCCTATCACATAGGTAGTCAAGATCCATCCTTTCTTCCTTGATTGGCCTGCAAAGTAAACTTGGCATTCCAAAACTAGAATGAAGGATTAGCTCATTCCTCTCACTAGGAGAATCACCATGGAAGGCTACATGACTCTCATCATCCCCTCCTTCTTTAAGAGGATTCGTCCTCGAATCATCAACCTCTAAACCTGCACAAGGAACAAACGAGATATAAGGGTTAGTAAAATCCTCACCCTCACCACACTCTGATTTTCTTTCATTGTGTGCATCTTTTTATGTTTCCACGCTATTTTCATAGTTTTCTCTTGCCTCAAGTCTTACCGCAGCGTGACCCTTTTTACTTTCTTGCGTCACTCTCTCGACTTTATCTCTCCCTTGTGTATAGGTTATCTTACGTCTTTTCTCTCGCACAGACTCAGCTTCTTCCTAAGCCAAAGGCTTAAGAATATATTTTCTGTCCTCTTTAGTAAAGACAAAGATATTCTTCGAGCAATGGTGCACAACATCTACATCTGATTGCCAAAGCCTACCTTGCAAAATATCAGAAAGAGACATAGGAATTACATCAAAGTAAATTTCATCCCTATACTCAACAACTTGAAAAGAAACCGTGGCCTTCTTAGTGACATCCACAACCATCTCTTCATTCAACCATTGAAGCTTGTAAGGTCTAGTATGCGGATCCATCTTGATTCCGTTTGCTATGCAAAATTCCTCACTTATACAATCAGTACTCGATCCACCATCGATTACCAAATCAACTTTAATGGACCACCCAACCGAACACTTAGTACGGAAGATACATGTCCGTTGATCACCATCTTCAGCGCCAAACACCAACCCTTGATCCTCAATTAGACCATTCCAACCACAAGAAGTATCATGCTCTTTCTCTACTTCTAAGGCAGCTTAGTATGCCTCATAGAGCCTTGATTGCCTTCTTATCTTTGGGTGTTGTTCATACCCCTTATCCAAGCCATAGTGGAAACGATCAGTCAACATGTAGTCATTCTCATCCACACCCGAACTCAGGAACACGCCTTCTAACTCCTCAAAGTATGATTGAACGGATCTACCATTCTGCTCACAATTGAGCAACTTCACTTTTGCTTCATCAAAGGTGTTAGTACCAGCATATCTTTCTCGCAAAACATTCCTCAAATCATGCCAATCATCCAAATTACGATAAAAATGATGCGAATAGATATTTGAAACTAGCTTCCACCAATTCAAAGCACTAGAACGAAAACAACCTACAACTAAGGCTATTTTCTCACTCTCTTTCTCATTGTTAAGCAACACAAACAAATTCTCTATGCTCTTTTCCCAAGTATCATAGTCACTATGGCAGCCATAAAACAAAGGCAATGACACTTGCAACATTTCAGCATACGAGGGTACTTGTTTTACTTCAAAACGATCACATAAGACTCTCAAATTTTCAGCAATTTTCTCAAAACTTATCGTAGCATTATCTTGCTGATTTGAAGGCAATTGAGAGAAGTCTCGGTTCGCCTCCTTCACCTCGGCCAAAGCATCATGCAAGTGGTCAATTTGACTCTTTATGAGCTGCACTTGAGCCTCCATGCGACCCTCTACGCTCTTTGAAGCAACTTGAGTACAACCAGCAACTCCGGATGACATCTTTGCACAACAACTTTGAGAAACCACCAACAGAAGAAATAATGTGCTTTTGTTACTATACAAAGACTCCTTGAACCCTAGAACCAATGATGGTTTGGCCGAAACCCCCCCAAGAACCAAAGGAAGGTTCGAATAATGCTCTCCCCAAAAACAAAAACTCTCTTGTGCTTTTAAGAACACTAACTCTCAAAAATTCAGAATAAAAAGAAGAGTGCTTCTCTTATTTATACCCTTGTGATCTCGGCAGCAAGAAGAAGAAGAAGAATGGAGTAGAGTGGTGTGAGAATTTTTGAAAAACAGCACCCCTATTTATAGGCAATGCAAGTCTTTTTGTGCAAGAAAATTCCTACAAGATAGGACCTAAATTTTCTCAAATATATTCCCCCCTTAATTGATAAAATTTCAGTCGACAAGACGGAATAAGGAAGAAGAAATTCGGCCAACACACATATATATAAAAGGATAGAGTCCTAAAACTTAGGTAATCATAATCCCTTTTAAACAAGATATTTAC